GGTAATGTGTCATTTCTAATCACTGGCCAACAGTGTCATGCGAATTCCAGCTCACTTCCTCCATTCCAAGACCATTAAAACGAGATTGATTTGGAGCCCGATGTGGTGAATGCGGTTTGACGGTCCCGCAATAAGTTCATCAAGAGAGGGTATAAACAAGGAGTTGACATTGTGGATGCCACAAAAGCAGGTATGGAAACCCCAATCAGCAACGGTTGTGTGGGTCTCGGGACTCGGGTCTCAGGCTCAGTCTGGCAAAACCATTCCCACTAATAATGTGAGGTCATGTTGCAAATGCTTTGTTTTTAAGAAAATTGCCCCCCCCCCACTTTTCCCAAGTTGTAGCAAAGAGTATGCAGGTCTCACACCCCCATGAATATGCAGAAGTTTCGTGCAACCGGTAATTGGTTATGTCACTTGTGATCTGCGGGTCAACAAGCAGAGGCGTCACACGTAATTAATCTTCAAATGCATGTGCACGCATCATAGACATTGGCAAAGCATGTCTTCCACAGCTCAGGTGGTTTTGTACAAGATTGATCAGACAGAGAGGACAGAAGGGCAGTGGGGCTCCTCCGCCCCGCCCCCACTGCAGGTAATAACAGTGATAATGGATGAGCATACGTGTGATGACACTCAATACATGCACATGTACAGGAATATCCAAACACAGGGTTGTACATACATACATACAGTATACACATGTCTGGGGGGCATGGCACTCCTCAGTACTGCACTACATTACCTTCACACCTTGCTGTCTGACAGACACCTGATACCTGGAAATCACTACACAGAAAAAAAGGGTGCGCGCCTAAACATGACCCCAGAAAGACCGGCTCACTTACACTTGACTCTTTCAACCCAAAGCCTGAGCCGGGAAGTAGAGATGTGTTTGAACCAAAACAACAAACAGAGGCCCGACTGCGGCACGCACGGGCATCACATGAGAAGCACACAGCTCACCACCACCGAATCACACAGGTTGCCCATGATGAGTGGCCCATTATGTGAACTACCCAAGGGTCATACCAGGAAGCAGTTGGGGGCTGGTTGACCCAACTTCCCCTTTAATTGACTGACCCCTCCCACTAGACACATTATTCAGCTGCTGGACAAAGATTAATTACAGCAGGTTTTTTTTTTTCAACAAAACACAAAGGAAAATAAATGGGCCTTTATCGTTTCTGACAGGGTAGCAAGCTGGAAGAAAGCAACAAGTTATTTCACCCGAGGAAAAACATCACTCATAGAAGGCCAAGAAGAAAGGATCTTTTTTCCCACTTCTTGAATAAAATAGCACGCGCACATTCATCACATGATGACAATGCTCAAACTTCTCAATTGCACAATTTCAGGCTTCCTTCAGATGCTCCATGCGACAATTCAAATTCTTTGAACTTTGGGCAAAACTCTCCTGAACAACTCTCTGGTGGCTTGAACATTCAAATACCCGCATACATGTATATGTGCACATGTTATGTAAATGTATACCGGTGTTGATGCATTTCATAAACAAACGGCTTCTAATGCAAAATGTAAGCCAACACATCATACATGTAGTGCAGATACAAGTACCACATGCCAATGTACAAATGTACTGGTATGTACATGTACATGAGACACGGCTAGTCTGTGAAACAGCTTGGCTGCCAATACAGTGAAAAAAGCTATTCACTGTGAACATGTACAATGGTATTTTGTACACGCTTTGTACACGTACTGGTATATGTATAAGCCATCATTGTATAATTCCCAGCCCTCTTCACACCTACTTGGTGGACAGAGCGTGTTCACAGTTCTCTTTGAAGTCATGGGTGACCTGAAACCAGTGCACTGCATTAATTGCAAGGCTGTTATCAGGCCCATTATGACTGCACATTAAGGGAGTCTCGACAAGCACAGGGGTCAATGGCCCTACTCACTGGTAAGCGATTTACTTCAGCAACAGTCTACCGTATCTAGTGCCTGTGATATAGCGAATTGTTTGATAATCAGTTGCTGTGCCTTTTAGTAGTCGCAGATAAGGTTCAACCGTGAGTTGAAATGCCCTGAACTTTTAAGTGAGGGTGAGCGTTGGGTATGTGGTACGAGAGTAAAACTGCCCTTTACCTTCTCATGAATGTCAGATTTTTTTTGGGGGGGGGATTTTTGATAACACAGACATCTACATGTAAAACTCATACAGGCTCAGCATGTTAAATGCATTTCAGCGACGCTACAGAGAATGTCTTCTGCTGGTCTGTTCAACATTTACAAGACCAGTATAAATGTACAATGTACATATACATATACATGTACATGTACATGTACATGTACGGTAATTTGCACAAACCCTTAAAGTGGAACTACACAACCCAACAATCCCTGAACATCTCACACTCCTTCACCCAAGCAAGTGATGGATGGAATTAAAAAAAAGGTGAATTGTTTTAACATCAGACCTAGTTCAAGGCCAATTTATTCATTCCTGTTCTGCGCTGTGTATTTGTGAAAACTTGTACTGGTTCTCAGTAAGGGACAAAGTTTTGACTTTTTATGAAGGCCCAACCTGAAAGCCCAACAGTCTAACAGAGCTGTCCTGGATTGACCTTCAACCTAACCTCAACTTGACCCCATAATATACTCATCAACAAAATAATGGTGAAAGTTTGTCAGACCTGCATTAGACAGCTTATTGATAAACTGGGCCTTTGGGCAGGCTGGATAAATGAGATTAGATCCTCCCTTTGAAGAGGCCTTTGATCAAGTAATGGGTCCACATCAAAATAAAAGGGGCAGTCTGCAAGCCCTCACTGTTGGGGACAAACCCCCAAGGGGTTGGTTGACTGTGGCCCATAGAATGCCAATGGTTTCAGCATGTGCAGTTCAGGACATTGTCAACTTTCCCGGGTCTGGCACATGGAAAAAGGTGTGTGGAGTGCTGGATGACTCACTTTTACACTTCTTACCTTCCTGCGGACGGGTAAGGATGAAACTGCAGTCAAGCATGTTCACCGCCAACTGTTCAAAGAGGAATCAAGTTTGCTGTCAGGACCATAGAGAGCTTGATGCTCAGTGTAAAAGCATGTAGCTATCCACTAGAGGCCAGTATGTTTTGCACATTAAAATTGCATGAAGCAAAGTCGAAAGGGAGTGGAAAAGGATAGTACTATACCCTCTCACCCCCATACACAAAGCCCTTGCCTCCTAATGTTTAATGCATCCCTACAAATGCTATTATATATGTATTTTTCCCTGTCCTCAGAAACATCCCACTGCTTCTGTACATGTACACGTAAGTCCCACAGGCAACTTACATGTACATGTACAGTACAGTACATGTACAGACTGTCTCAAACAAGTTACACGTTACAAGCACTTACCGATGCTTTTTGACCAATCCTCAGTGAAAACTGTACCAAGCGGCAAACACCTTGCATACATACATGTACATGTGTATATGTTAACCCAATCAGGGGCTGATCCAGGGTGGACATGGGGTGCACACCCCCCTCCCTCTACTCCCCTTTCACCCAAAAGATAAAAGAAAAAGAAAAGAGGGGAGGGGAAGAAAAAAAGAGGGGAGGAACCCAGCCTTGAAAGTGTGGTCAAAGCATAGAAAACAACAGTTCTGCTTCCGGTTACTTAACCTCCACAATTTTACAGCCGCGACCCTACATTTTTCAGTTCAGGTCCCTTTTGGAAAATCCTGGATCTGCCTCTTTCAGTAGTTGTAATTTCAGGTGTCACAATCTATAATGTGGAAGGCACGCCATACCGGAGTCTGTTTGTATGACACGGCATTGGTATGCAAAAGTCAGAATTCAAAAGAATTCTCTTCTCCAACAGACCACAATGAAGCCGATGTGGAGATGCTGAAATACGAACTGAGCTGGGGACAGATGCCTTGAGGTTGACAACTCTCCCTGCTTGTCATCATGGCAGCAGCAATGTTAAGTGTGACAGATTTAAGTGATAATTTGGCCAAGTGGAGGACTACCAATCAAGGAAGGTGACCTGACCATTGTGGGCCAGTCTCCTAAAAAGCTTTCATTTCCTAATCCCAGGACCCAGAGAGGGTTGGGAGTTCATCGCAGGTCAGTGGCTGCAGTGTTGCTGGTAATGGCCTGCCAGTTGGCTCCAGACAATGGCCCCGGTCTTGTCCCGGTAATGAGTTTTGTCACAACTGACTTACTGGGGCCCTTGCTACAGTGTAACATTTGTTAGGTGTCCCTGGTTCCCATTACAGGATATTAAGATTTTGATACCCTTGCTGTGTGCTTGGCACACCTGCACAATAGTATGTATTGTTTTTATTTAATGTAGGACATACATACAAGTGACACATATCATTTTTTTACCTCCTCAAGAACGTATGGCACCCTTTGCTTTGCACAAGACACCAGATGTAAAGAAGAGGCCAGTTATTGACTCTTTTGTTGTGGTAACAACAAAATAAGAGAAATCACATGACTTCCTGTGCGAAAATGAATAACATCATCACAGCTGTACATGAGGAGTTGCAGACATGCTGCATCACAAGGCACACCCAACACACAGAGAGCATTCATTGTGCCTGCTTGGTGATGCAAATTATATACAAGCCAGCAATCACGCGATGTTGTTGCCGTCTCATTCGTTTACACAAACTTGACACTTGGCCATTCTCGATAAATACCGCAATATCAAAACAAGAAAAACCAACTCTTATTCACAGCCAGACTTTCTGATAAAAAGACTTTTCAGTGGCTTAACCCTGTGTTGAAGCCAAGATGTATCCCTATTTTATAACAGCTAAAACTTCCACGCTAGATACATGTACTTACATTTAAAAGTAGTTGCAACATATCCAGCTTTCTTTACCGTAGTGGACTCCAGATTTAAATATTGAAATTGCGGACAGATTATAGAGGTATTTCAGGATTCTGTCCAAGTTCATTCCTCGGGTTTCGAAAGCTTAGCATATGTACGCGCGAGAGATCCGCTAAACAGAGACCTGTCTTCCAGAATGTAATTACCTCTGTCCTTAGATGTGCTGTGAAGCGCCCCAGGTGCAGACAGTCTGAGGCGCAATGAGGGAGGCATTGACGTGGGTGCTCCGCATCAGCAAAATGGCCTATTGGCTCAGACAGGCTCGCCCGGCGTGCCAAGAGAATGCAGAAATAACTGCTCTGCTCCGCATGTGACCGCAAAACAACACTGAAGTTCACCAGACGCTGCCCCTCCCCCGCTAAAAAATGAGCACAGAGAGAAAAAAAACCACAAGACGTCAACAGCACGTGAAAATGTCAAGATGCTGAGGAGAGCATCCCAAAATCCAAGGGAGATGGAATGCCACTGCCAAAGAAAACACTGCCACCTTCGTCGGCAAATTCATGACTGAAGAACCTTAAAAGTGTGAAAGCTTGTCAAATTGTCAATGAACCTTCAAGTAATGAAAGCATTACAAGAAATTACCTGTTTTACATGCGAGTCGTGTAGACTGACAAAATACCGAAACAACTCAAACACAGACTTTTTAAAATTATACATACATGTACAAGTACATGCACAACTTGATTCATCTTAAGAATTTTTGTGATATTTATCAACATCAAGATGTACATGTACATGCAGCTACCGTGTATAAGAAAAACACGAGAGAGCCAAAAGCACACATCACCGAGACGGAAGGTACATGTACATGTACATCTGCATTTTTTATTTAACTGAGAGAAATTGTATGGAGGGGGGAAGCTCGATGCAGACAAAGGCTGCTCCACAACGTATCATTTCATTTCAACTTTAGCAAATTAGTATTTTTATATATTACTATACATGTAATTATCCAAATCTAAATGTTGATTTTTCTCAACATTTGAAGATTCTTAAAGTCGCTTTTGGTGGAAAGATTTTTGATGTTTTCAGACACGAACATCTGGCGGTGTCATCCATTCTTTCAAAACACATCAGGCTACGCTTTTGTTTACAGACAACAAAACAATATTTCTCATTTAAAGTAAACATTAATAACCTTTGGGAGCCCTGTATATCACTGCTGCTTTCTCACAAGAACATGTACATGTACCAGTCGTTTTTTGAAATACCTCAGACAATATGACATGTGCTTGACAAACAATTTGATACTGGACGTACACGTAGGCAGAGTAATGACTACAACACACAAGTAAAGTCATGGATTGAATCACACAGGTATTTCAGTAAACGTATTCAAACCGAACTTACATGCTACAAACCTGACAGGCTAGAAAATATAAATATTTGTATGCAAATAATTCATGAATTGTCTATTTTTGGCCCCCCCACCAAAATCCTGATTTCTACTAAAGTGAACAGGAACATAGGAAAACAGCTGCACTATGTTTTATATAAGTGAGTGAGATAGATCTATGGAAACGTCGACCTATTTTTTTTTTCGGTGGCTCGTTAGGCACCTACAGTTTTGTGGTGAAAGACGGTCTGCTCCCATTCATCTTGAAGTTTTTCCCCTGCCGACAAGTCTACGATGAGCTGTCAACAACAGAAGGCTCACAGGAACCTCGCAAGAGCACATGAGTACATGTATGTCTCGGAGATGATATAAATCATGAGAGAAAATTCCATCAAAGAAAGCCATGACATTAAAGCATGAGCAATGTTGGCAATTGTGTACAAGTACCAGTACCGTAGGCCCACATGTTACTACAGCAAAACATACCGGTAAATGACAAACTTAAGGACTTCAATCATTCAGCCAATTGAACTTTTTAATCAAATTCTTCAGGCATGAGTACCATACCAGTATATAAAGGCTGGATAATTCAGGTTAGCAGATCTTACTCAGGTTAGCAGATCTTATTCAGGTTAGCAGATCTTATTCAGGTTAGCAGATCTTATTCAGGTTAGCAGATCTTATTCAGGTTAACAGATCTTATTCAGGTTAGCAGATCTTATTCAGGTTAGCAGATCTTATTCAGGTTAGCAGATCTTACTCAGGTTAGCAGATCTTATTCAGGTTAGCAGATCTTATTCAGGTTAGCAGATCTTATTCAGGTTAGCAGATCTTATTCAGGTCAGCAGATCTTATTCAGGTTAGCAGATCTTATTCAGGTTAGCAGATCTTGTTCAGGTTTGCAGATCTTATTCAGGTTAGCAGATCTTATTCAGGTTAGCAGATCTTGGCTGAGGTGCTTACCGGTATATTTACAACTAACACATTTCCGCACAGGTACATGTACCTGTACAGGCCTACCGGTACATGCATAAAATGTTAATATCTTGGGTGCAGACAATGAGGTCCGTGCATATTACATGCATTACCGGTAGATGTACATGTATGTGCAAATATTACAGTGTAGCTCTGCCAAACTTGAAAGAGCTTCATTATTGTTGAAATTAACCCAACCAGTCCTCAATCCTCCAATTCCAATAGGATTTTATATATACTCGGGGGGGACCAGTATAATGCATTTAATCATAAAGGCATACATATCCTCGCAAGCAAGAAAACTTGAAGTGTACGAAAGGGATGTAGGAAAAGAGCTGTCTATAATGAGAAAAGTGAAATTGACAGTATATAATTAAGGATGTTTTACATGTGCATAAATGTTTTACATATGCATACATGCATAGATAGTAAGTCAATGAACATGGTACACATAAAGTGTAAACACCCACTTCTTTTTAAAGTTGTGCTTTGCTCATCAACACACATACATGTAAGTTAAATCCTGTACATCATCTCCACTCCCACGTCCACTCAAATCGAGTTCAAGTTACCCGAGAACAGTTGCGTTCTGTCACCCAGTATTACTATTAGTGGCCCCTCAGAGGCCAGTCGGCTTTTTAACAATCCCGCTGATGTATCGCTGGTACCCCTCGTTGTCATTATCCCAAGAGGACCGGCCACATTTAGAGTGTGTATGTCTTCATGTCTGGTCACATTGAGACGGCATCCAGCTAAAAGCTTTTTAGTTCTGGATGGCCAGGGTCTAGAGTGACAGTGCTAAGACCTTTTTATTTTCCTTTCTTCAACACCCCCACCCCCTCCATTTTATTTATCGGTGGACATCAAACATCTGTCTCTCCACAACCACACATCGTAGGATTTGAAGGGGAACATGATTCTCTACTGGATCTGCAGTGTCTCTGTTGGCATGGTCTGACTGTTCTGTTCCACACCAGGAGGGTTATTTTTTTTATTCTCTGGCATGTACATGTGTATTCCCTTCGGGAAGGGTGATGGCACCCGTACGTGTGACAGGGTACCTGAGCAAATGAAGGAGGTTTGGAATGAGACAGAAGGTTTAAAGTGGGAGCTGAAACATTGAGTGGACTGCAGATGTGTACGTGAATGTTTCAGATGCCTTCTCCTTGGGAGTTTCAGGATGATTTATGAGAGTGATTTCAAAAAGGTTCCTCACTCACAAGAGACTGCTATTGAAATGCATGTTTAGTGTTTCAGATGGCAAACTGTTACTGATAATCCTAGATGCGAGAATATAATTTATGTTCATTCAGTAAAACATACAGTGTATGCCTTTTTCTCATACCCTACAATTTAAGTCCAAAATCCTCAATACAAAACCTTCAAATTAGATGAATGCCGAAATGATTCTGACAAAAGGTCTGGAGGGCCAACATGGACCTGAATGTTGAGATAATAAGAATAAGAATGATAACACTAAGACTTATAACGCGCCTTTTCGCAAGTTACAATGCGCGGCAAGGACAACTCCAGAAAACAAGTTGCCATGAGCTAATGTGAAGAGAACAGGTGAGCTTTCAGTCTACCCAGGATTTGTCAAAGAAACTGAGCAGAATCTTTCTCTCCTACAAACAGATCAGTGTATCAGGGAATTGTGATGAGGGAATGGGCCTACATGTAGACAATACCTTCCTGTTTGACAATGCCCTCACACAGATGTAGTTTGCGTTCCTAGGATGAAACTTAGTTTGTTGTATGGAGGTTCACATATTGTGTCAAAATCGCTTTACGTGTACCTGCCCTGGTGAGACCTGGATCCTGGCACCTTGGTGTACCTGTAACCTAATTCAATTCTTGCAACTACAGAGACTGTACAGATATTGTGTATGGTACATGTACATGTACATGTATAGATGAATCACGCTGTTTACTGTATCCATCCAGAGTTGAAGTGTGCCCTCAAAGGCAAAAGAAAGACGGACCGGTGCAGAGTTTTCCAACCGGGTTCTGGCATGCATTTGGCACCTACTATACATTGCAGAATAAACTTGTAACACATACTCAGCATGCCCTGCATCAAATGCGCATAAGCTTGCGCTCCTGTGCAGTGAGTTCGTATCAAAGGACTGTCAACTTCACTTAAAAAACACGCTCTCTTTTGTTCCCGCTCGGAGCGGATACACAAAGCCAACCGCTCCTGTTGGGCAACTATGGACCAGTGCACGTACTGTACATTTGTACATCATGTACATGTACATTCCTTTGATATGTGCTTGTGGTACATGACTGATGATAGGGGTATCACGACATATATTATTACTTACAAGCACATCATTGCACTGCACTCAGGCTCGTGTATCCTGTGCCATTCCATCAATCATTGTTTTGTAATTAACCACAGTTCCAATTTAATCTAGACAGGTGCAGTGCATGCAGGGCATAGTAACTGACCACACATAGAATGATTTCTGCTGGATGCTTTACACCTGTCCAATGTGGTGGCTCTTCCCATACCAAATGGCACATGTTTACATACAGGTGAAGAAAATTTGGAAGAAACCACTTGGTGACCGAAGTTGAGGTCTGATTGAGGCACTGAACTTTCAAGAGTCATTTCAATTTCATGAGTGTATTGTACATGTACATGTAGATCATCTTCAAGGAGAGGAATTCGTCAGAGGGACGTCAGAATTCTTGAGAATCATCAACTGATCATTATTGATCTTCCTCCAGGTAGCTAGCTTTGCATCTGGACAACTTTGCAGATTCCCAACTGAAGTACGTTCTTGCACACTGTTCAACTGTACGAACAGATGTTAGAAAGCATCCCGAGCACACACAAGCATCAGTAGACATTTCAGTCAGGAAGACTCACTCAACAGTGTTAATAGTGTTTCAGTTCAATGACTGCAACCCTTCCGTCTTTCACGCTAACAATTATGAGTCTAAGGCCGTGTCCGTATCACTTGGCTAATGCCGGAATTTACGCACAATTTAATGGGAACTGGCTGCAGCCACTGCCATAGACTTGTGCGTAATTTCGG